CAAACAAAGAGCGGCGAGCGATCCGACACTGCATGTTGTTGTCGTGCGCGCGGCATGTAAACATAAACACGCGGGCCGAATACGATGTAATGTTAAAAGGTAATAAAAGTTCTCGTATGTGATATTAACAGTATTTTCGAAGTGTTCATTTCGTATTTGTAGATAGTTGGTTGACTGACACCCTTTCCCTCCTGCTCTCCGATTTTGGTATTTAACGTAGGTAATTACGTGCGCTCTTCGATACAATTACACGGATAAATTAATTAAACGGAATACCCACCCCGTTACAATATATATCTCTTTCTATTTTTGCTTGATTATTTATTCATGTACTTGAACTTTATAAAATGAATATTATAAATACTATAAAACGCGCTTGAGTGTATCTATATGCTTCCCCGTTATATTAAGGATAATTCTATAACATTGTTTTTTTTATATTATCGAGCGTGTATATATATATATGAATACATTCTCATCGGGATCCAAAACTGTGCGGAACTCTCTTATAAATTTTGCGCCTACATAGCAGTAATCCGTCTGCAGTGGCGTAATGGCGACTTTTATCTTTCTTGTGATTCCCCCTACCTTAAAGGGGAACATCACGTGACTAATGATGGGGCATGGGCACCCGCCGACGAGCTTTGCATCGCCCGCCCTGGTCACGTTCAGTCCGAATTCTATCTCCGATGACAATCTCAGCCCTAACTGACCCATTACCGTAGATGAGGCGCCGGTATCATAGAGTACTATAATCTTAAAGTCAACTATGTCTACCCGCAACCACCATCTGGTCTCATCCTCTGGGTTGTATCCACGAGTTGCATTCTTTCCTCCATCTTCCGTGCTTTTTCCATTCAGCCGCTCCTATGAGGATGGGCTTGCTCGTACTCGTGGACTCCGTAGGGAGGGAAACTTTTTCTGTGGATGGACCCGAACCTTTCAGGTGTTCGTGATGCTCGATCCTTATACTTATCGAGTCTTCTCCCTCCTCCACAATTTGTATATGGCCACTTGGTCCTTTCAGGATGATCATCCTCTTAATCTGGATGAAATCGGGCTCAATTGCCTTCAGCTCCGTTGCACTGCTAGATTTCGAGCCCTCTTGATGTTCTACTAGGACCTGTTTGGATCTCTGGGTCGTCAACAAGTTGCTCTTTCCAGTCGACGACCCGCAGCGAGAGGTCGAATCTACAGGAGTCCCGAAGATGACTTCTTCTCTTCGCTCTCCTTGCCGTTTCCCTTGTTGCAATCTGGGCAGAACTTACGGCTGAAACCCAGCTTGATACAAGCGGAATACTGGAGAGGCTTCGTGAAGTCGATCTTCCGCCTCTGTACTTCTCGCCGTTCGTCGAAGGAAGTGAATTCCTCCTTCTCCCACGCCATCGGCTTTTGCGCTGTTGTGGAAGGCTGTATTGCCTTTTTATGGCCATTTTGCACAGGAGCCTCTCTATGCCCTCCAGTTGTTCCTTTATCTTCTTATCAGAAGTGAAGGTTTGCGCAGCTGCTAACGTTGCTTGCTCGGTAAGCCTCCTGGTAGGGTTCTCCACTCTCTGTCCGCGCTGTAGATCTCCATCCTTAATAGCACATCCCTTTCCTTGGCTGGCTACTACAGCGATTTGGGATTTATTACCAGCCGTTCTTTTGTTCGGCTGGTATGCGTGCTGAGAGATAATCGTCGAGTTTGAGACCGCGAATATGCGTGGACGACAACCGTAAGACAAAGTATTTAGTACTTCGGTCGCTCTGCTATTAAACTCACATATTGACGTTAACTCACTTCGTCGCAGCTGTATCTGGATGTTTGGAAGGAGGTTTGCATGCAGCAGGTCCAATAACCTTTCCAAAGGCATTGGTGGTTCTAACCGATTGACAAAAGCTACGAGGTTGGACACGTAATCCCTCACTATTCGTCATCGCCCTGGAATCGGTTCTAAGCTTCCTGCAACAGCTTTTGTTGCGTACCGGTGCCGAACCATTCTCGGACGTCGACTACGAATTCGGCGTAACTCAGCCACTCGTACTTATTTTTAACATACCAGATCCTCGCGTTAGTCCTCGTTGTCGATTTGTCTTGCGCACACGTATAATAATTTATTTCAACAAATAAAAGTATATTAATTGAATGCGATGATTTTGTACTTACTAATAAAATTGTTAGAGTTGATAAATAATTATTAGTAAGCCAATTTTATATTTACATTATAAGATTTGGCCAAAAATGTAAGTTAATTGCTATTTAAATATTATTTAACAATTTGAGTATTTCTTGTTTGCTATTATCTCTACAAGCGATAAGTTATTTTTCTATGAACAAAATTTTAAATATTTTATTGTAAAATTTGTGGTATTGAATTAATTAACTTTATTAAAATAAAAGAAAAATCATCTTGATATGATAAAAATTGACGGAGTTATAAAAATTTGTAAAATAGCAGTATTTCAATGAAAAGTTTTGCTGTATTGTATATTCAAAATAATTTCATTTTTAACAATATTGTATATTACTATATATTAAATATGTTAAAGAGATTATTTTGGTTATTTCATTTATTATTACATCTAGTAATAGAGAGATCTCTTGGTAATATTATATAAATTACTCCACTAATAAATTTGAAAAATTTGCTTGAACTTATACTCGTATATTGAGTTGTCGATTTCTTTGATTCAAACAAATGTTAAATATAAAGTGATAGGCTGATCTAGCTTATAACGGGGTTTTGACCCAGCGCGGGTCACTCGTTATATAATTTACGAGGGGATTAGAAACAGGTCGGTGTGGGCCTCGTAATAGGCTGCGCAAAGCCTAACCCAGCAGCAACAGGAACGTCGTGGTGCAGCGTCTGTTACCTTGGCCCGCGGAGAGCGTCGTGTAGTCCTATGGGCGCTTTGGAGCGATCACGAAATTCAGGTGCGAAAGCCAGACGGAACGGGATTGTTTACAATAGGTAAAAAGAAAGCGCAGAGGAAGAAAACAGATATACGAGCAGCATTGAGTTTACTACAGAGAATAGTACAAAGTTAGTACGCAGCGTAAGCGGGAGAGAGAGCGGCGAAAAGCTAGCGAGAGAAACACGTATTCCAGGTGGTATTTACAATGACGTCTCAGAGTCAGCCCTGGAGACGGTGTTCTCGGCCTCGCACGTGGTCCGCGAGGACGCGCAGTACGCAACTCGAATGCGGTCAAGAGGCGGGCGGCTTTGAAGGCTCGTACGCGTACTTGCCGGAATTAGCTCGCCAAAACACTGAGCAATCTCGGCACCAAACCTCACACCGAGTGGGCACTCACGTACTCGCGAGAAACACCAAGGAAATAGTCGCAGATCACAAAAGGTCGCAAGCACGGATATCCGCTCGTCACACGTCCACGTGCTTCGAAGTCGCCGGTACAAGAAGAGAGTTCTTATCGCGGGGCTTTTTCCTGCCCCACTCTCCTACTCGCGCGCGTCGCGCCGGCCTCCCGAATTCTCTCTCTCTAGCTCACCCTCTATTAGCGCTCTCTCTGACTTACCTTTGGCTGCCATACATGTGAAATAATTATATGACAAATATATATATATATAAATAATTATAATTATGTGTGGGGAGAGAGAGACATAACGAGGGTCTGGCCGCTCGTTATAAGCTAAAATTTGGAAAAAATTTTTACTTTCCAAGTTGTATTACTAACTGAAAATAATCCCGATACGCACCAGTAGCGCCATATCTCTGACTTTCTATGGATATTTCAAACGACCCTCGTATTGCTTCCAACGCGCACTGAAGTAGAATTCTTACTGATCTCTCTAACCCGGTATCCTTGGTCTCGTAACCCATTGGTCTCTTACCCCCCCTGTGTGTATACCTATTACGCTTATATTTTATATGATTTTTTTAATGAAATAAAAATATTCATAATTGACAAGCCATTTAACTAATTTGAAAATAAATTCAAAGAAAGTAGAACTTCTGAGATTATAATCTTTAATCATTGCTGGTCGGATTTTATTCGTGAAAAAATTTGAAAGCTGTCAAAAGAATGTAATGCATTATTTAGAGTCTGCTTGCAAATAGTTATGATGTGACACCAACTACTGGAAAAGCTGAATACTAAAATTTGAACAAATAAAATTAGTTTTGGTCTGTTTGAATATTTTTGCCTTCATTGAAACAACACATTCATACTGTAATAAAATAATTAAATGTGAGTTGTCTTCTTTTCATTTTAAATGATTTTATACTCATAATATAATTATATACATATTTTTTCTGTAGCTAGTATGTCAATAAATTCTGTCTGCCATCTCCAAGAGAGCATATGACATTAAAGCAGCTGAAAATGTCACATATTATTTATCATAAATATAAAAAATAATTTTAATGTTAAGGTTATATTTAGCTTGATATTTTGGAGTATAAATAATACTTCAAAATGTACTTTTAATGTACAAACACAAATTATAACATAATTTTTGAAGACACAACTTTAATTATTTAAAAGAAGAGAATCTTATAAATTTCTAAACACATAATATAAAAATGGAAAATGGAAATGATTGCTATAATAACATTTTTATTATAATATGAAATTAATATAATTATTTTATGAAACAAATAAATAAATTTATGTAACACCTTTCTTTTTTTAAACTTGGAGAATAATAAGTTAAAGATAAGATGGAAGTTAGATTGTTTTTTAGAGTTTATGTGTGTGTATGTGTGTATGTCTGCGCGTACATCATTATTTATCTATGAATATAAAATATCGCAGTGTATATATATATATATATATATATATATATATGTGTGTGTGTGTGGATGTGTCTGTGTATAAACAAATACAACCACACTCCCACATATTAACATAAATTTTCATTTTTGCAAAATTATAACGTTCCTTTCAAAGTAATATTATAATCAATGTTCGTTGTTTCACTTTGTGGCAACGCTGTTTTCACAGTAGGATATTGATGGCCTAGCTCCGGTTCTAAACATGAGAAAGATACAATTATTACGTAATACTATTTCGCTTAATCAATATACATTATCTTTACCAAAATATTGTGTTTTTTATACCAGAAAAATAGTTTAATTAATTCGAAGATATGATATATTTTTTTAGTTTGAAACCACATCTTATTGGTAAGTAATTCAACTTTAGTTAATAAAAAGTCACCACTACCGGAAAAACCGTTTTTGATAAAACCTTTAAAAAATATTTTTTATATAAATTGAAAAAATAAATTTCCAAAAAAAAAGTTAACTCTTACTTTTTATTTTTAAATATTTCATTATTTGACTTGAAAAGCTGTTTCAAAACTTGATTTTATATGTATTTTTATTATTACTAATTTTATTTTTATTATTTACTATTGGTCATAGAATCAATATATTGAAAATCATATTCAAATTCAACTCCATTCTTGAAAAAATAGGTCGACGGAAATATTGGGATTATTCACAGAAAATTGAGATAAAAATATTTAGTTTAAAAAAGCTTGCTGAAAAAGATTAGATAATTAAAAATTACTATAAAATAAAATTTGAAAAGAAATTAAACAACCAAAAATCAATATACTAGATTTATTTTTTCAATTAGAAGTTATAAAATGGTATAACATGTTTTAATTGAATATTTCTAAATAAATTTTTTTAAATTTTAAGAATATAATCTCAGATTTCAGTTTTATAGTTATATGAAACTCATTTTAAGTTTTACTTAAATATGAAATATTTGCAATATCTTGAATCAAAGATCTTCCATGTAATTAAAAAAAATCAAGAATAATAATCAATAATAACCCTGGAATATAGGTATTTTAAATTTTTTGAGGAATATTCTCCGAATATATTTCATTCGAATTTATTTTCTATACGTATGGCGATATACTTATTTGAATGCTCATACAATAATAACAACAAATAATAATGATATAAGTGTAGATAAAGAATTTAAAAAATATAGAAAAATCCAATGTATGATAAAAAAATGACAATGATGTTCATCCTGGAAAATAAATGCAATCAAAATAGAATACTAATTAATTTTAATTATTTCGTTTTTATAGAAAACGTTATTGAGAACTTATGCATTAATTGATTCATTATTAACTAAGGTTATTGAAATTTTGATATAAAAGTATTGACACAATTATAAACAGTATATGAAACACTTATTTGAATTTGTTAAAAAATTATTATTATGTATTAAAATTCTGCCAAAGAGAAATTGTTTCCTTAAGAGACGATTTTGCGTAATATGTTAATCTGTGTTTAATATTACTTTCGTTATACTTAACATTAATATTAATTTATATATGATTATATGTACTCTAATCAAGAATAAACAAATATGTTTATTCAATTGTAATCACGTAAAAATTCAAACTTACGTGATATTCTGTTTCACATATTGCTTGTTGATAATATTTGAAATAACGTATAGTATTAAAGATCGTGGCAGTGATATGTAGAATGAATGCCGGAGGCACGGTTGAAAGGGACAATATATAGATCATTTTCATTTATACGAATGTGTCAATATCATTTTCTTTTTATAAACATGATCTATTCATTAAAAATTTTAAAAATTTTCTAATCACTCTTTTACTTAGTTCAATTTAATACTTATTTCAACAGTTTCAACCATTAATATCATTCATCATTAAGATCCATTACCATATTTAGTATGCTCAAGTTCCGCCTTATCCATAGAGTATAAAACATTTTAGCAGCCTTTCAGAAATATTTCATGGAAGATTGAAAAAATTGCCGAAGACACCTGCCATCTATGGCATTCAACAGAAAATACATTCTGTAGAGCAGCCATGTAAAATATTTCAGTATACACCTAGATTGGAGGCTTATATGGAAATCACATATATTCACAAAATGTAAACAGCCAGGACTAAAATGAAGGAAACTGTACTGACTCATCGGAGTAACATCGGTGTTATTAACTGAAAACAAATTATTGCTATCGCGACGTCGATGTTATATTTACGTAAATAATATGACCACAATAGAAAGCAAGCAAAGTAATGTATTAAAATTCTAATGCGTTAGATTTAAGTATTCATGTTTGTATACAATAATAAATCATTTGCAAAGGTTTCCTGCCTGTCAGATGAGTTCGAATGTTACGTCCAAATCTAGAGCAGACACTAGACGCTTAAGTGTTATTAAGCGATCGCTTGTGTGAGAAAGCTCATTTTAAGGTTTCTCACGCAAAAACACCTAACTATGTTGATCTGTTGTTCTCCGCGATCGCGAAGGTACACGTGTGTCTGCGATTCAAGGTTGCTTTTTGCAAAATTGTCAAACCTGCATAACAGCGCTCGGTGTGCATTTTATGAGTAAAGAACCGCGAGGCTGAGAGAGAAAAGAAATTCTTCCCTTTCTTCCAGTCTCTTATCTCTCTCCGTCTCTCATCCCACTCCGACTCCCAATTTCCACCTCATCACTCTCATATTTGAACTAGCTCTCTCTTGCTCGCGTCCGCGGGAGTCGACAAGTGATTTTGCTCTCGCTATTGATTTTACAGCGTGGAAAGCGGAGTGATTAGCTGGTTGGTCGGTGAAGTTTGCTATCGCGTCAATAGCGATTTACCCTTTTTTTTCTTTTCACGATTGGGCAGTGAGGATGCTCGGAAACTTTTGAGAAAGATTTTCTCTTTTTTTGAAAAATGAGAGCAAAATATACAGATAGGGACGAGACAGCGAGAGAGCAGACGCGATTCAAGTCGCGAGCGAATAGTTTGATTATCACGTAGGGAGTGAATAAATTTGTTCTCTGAAATATTTCCTAGAGAAATTTATTTAAAAATTAAACTCTCCACCAATCACTCTCAACTTGTGTAGTGTACGTGTCTGTGAATGGCGCTTCAAGCGCTCTTTACATTCCATCAACAAGACCAAAAAAATAGTTATTTTTTGAAATTTTGTTACCATAACACCAAATAGTACAAATCGCAATAAAACGAACGACAATACCGATGACGAATCCGAAGACGATGATTCATCTGAATATGAATTTAGTCGGAGTGAAAAAAACAGGCCGAGACTAGTTCATAATATTATTGAAACTAGAAAACTTCTTACTCGCGAAGGACAATCTTATTTCGTAATAGTCAAAAACCAACCCATAGATTCTGGAGCCCTTAACCTTCAAGACGATGGTAGACTTGCGCTTCATCAAAAATTGACACTTACAAGGGAACCACCCCAACCCGACCTCATCGATTTGAATGATTTTCGGATATGTTGTACTACTTGAAAAAAAATTAGATACGTATTTTTTTTTATCGGCCTATAAGGGCTTTTAAGGGGTGAAATCCACCCTGAAAATCAATTCCTAAAATCAGTTTTTTAATATTTCTCAGCATCAAATGAAATTTTTTCAGTAAACTCAACGTTAAAAAATTTCTTATAAAAAGGCGTTTTTAAGGACATAACATTTATACCGAAGGGTTGCAACCCCCTTTTTAATAGGGGTAAATACACTATTTTTTGTACTGCTTTACGACATGTAATATACACTGAAAAATAATCATGGTTGATTCAACCGACTTCTGGATGTTAAAATAGAGCAACCAGCTGATCCGATATTGAATCAACCCATCCGGTACATCAATTTCACATCCAGTATCTGTTGAATGAACAAGATTCAGTTGTTGAACTAACCCACCCGGTACATTGATTTCATATACGATATGTTGAATCGACTGAATAACATCATCACTTTAACAGAGTATTTAACATCGAATCAACATAAGAAATAAAATTCTTCGTAAAAAATTCGAAAATAAATTTTTTTTGTCATTATTACGTCATTATTATTATTATTATTTTGTCATTATTTGTTATTATAACGTCATGTAAAGATTGAAGAGGGAAACTTCAGGTTTTTTTCATATTGTACTGCCCATTAGCTATTTGTTTATATTTTATGTGAAGGAGAAGGATACAAAATTTTGTTATTAACTCTGGTGATAGATAATTATATTTCGCACGCAACTCGATACAACACTATACGCATACACATTTATCGCAACGGTTCTCACAAATACGCCTTATGTCGCATTTCTTTATATCAACGATCCTTAAATTCTCTTATATAGTAATTGAAAATTTTTTGTCCACTTGCGGGAAACTCTGTAGCCACCTAGTGTCACATATTGATAAACTTGCATTCAAAATTAAAGTCTCGAGTAACGTGTAACTATTTACGAGAAATTCCTATTGCAGACGGAAATAAAAATGTAAATTAAGTTTGACGCGCAACAATCTGGCGTGACATTACAAAACAACAAACAGCGAGCTACAAGGGAGAGAGAAGCTAAGAGGTCAAGTACACATTTGTGAATATTACCAGTAGGATTGAGTAAAACGATCGTTTAATTTTACAAGCCGAGCGCAGTACTTGCAAAACGACTGATCGATTAAAGCAGGCCTAGTGTATTTGGCTCTTCTACTCATCTTTTTCTCTTTCTCTTTTGAAACCAATATGAATTTCAAGAGGGAAAACATCTCTATTATTTAAATTTAATGTAATATAATATAATATAATGTTTTTGTCATTTAAAATTCTATTTCATTACTCAACAGTATTGAATATTTTGTGTGATCAAACCGAAATGAATCAATAAAAAACATGATATTTTATGAACTTTATTCATTATAATTTCACAGAAAATTACATCATATCATAAGAAACATAATTTTTTGAATTAGAAAGTTTTTGATAATTATGGACATTCTTAAACAATAAAGAGTCATGCGCTACGTACATAAACTGTTTTAGATCTTCAACTTCGTAAGCACAAAAATGAATGGAGTATTTTATCAATTTTAACTTCTGACAAACGAAGATAACATCATTCGAATTTTTATTAAATAGAATAATAATTATTTTACAAAATTGAATGGCATTATTATGGACATTCGTCACTATGATGGAATTTTCATAGTATTTGATTCCATCTAGAGAGATCCAGGAAAAGGGAATATAAGTAGAAATTATATTTTGGGATAACATTGCTACAACCGACTTATAAATACTTAAAAATATTACGCTAGTAAATAGCTGCTTGCCACATTCAACTTTCCTTTCGAATCCTTTGCTACTTAAAAATCTAAAATTTA